TATATTAATCTATATACAGGTGCGCGCGTGTATATGTATATGTATTTATATATATATATACTTACAAATAAAAATTTCATATACACATGCACAAACACGCATTTTATATATATATATACATACATGCATATATATATATACATACATACATACATACATACATATATATATATATATATATATATATATATGGCAGTGATAGTGAATATGTACGTGCATATACATAAACATTAAATTGATCAACATTATATACCAGTAAATGACAATCAAGTCTAATTGTGGATGTGTGATGTCGAATCTTTACAAGTTTCGAAGCATGAACATAGAGCCTTGCCTGAGTACTGGGACTATTTCAATGTAAAACGATTATAAGTACACAATGACATATAAATGTCCATGCTCGTATACATAACCCGCTCTATACAAGCACATTTACGTTAGATTTTACATGAACCACCTGAGCCCCTGCATAAACAAGCCGAGCAACACACTATACAGTATACGAACGTACTATGACTACAATATATGCAGAAATATACATAGTAGTACCCCTGGTCTGCCACATATACAGAAATATACAGAGTAGTAACGGATAGTATGTACACATACAGATATCTACACACAAGTACAAATCCCAGATACTTTTCTAGATGATATTACACGCTGATTGTACATGCACATGCCAACTTACTCGAGAGAGCTGTGTGCTTCTTGAAGGAGGTACCCACATCCCAGTCAGAGGGCAGAGATGGGAATTTAGTCTTGAGTACAACTTGGGTATTCATGATGCTTGTATGTACGTATGTATGTATGTGTACACGTGTAAGTATGCACTTGCTGTGAGGATATCGTCACGCTTTCAGCTTTCAAAAACACTCTCACGAGAGAGACTGGATCATGTGTTCTGTATTTATTTTTTATTTTGGTTCGGATCTGGGTTGAGGGACTGATGAGGGTACTCGAAATACATTTTCCAAAAGATTTTTCTACGAGAGCTACACGTGCAGCTATTTTTACTGGGGTATATAGTACAGTCAGTGTACACTAAAATTAGAATCGATGAATTACAGTTCGGTACCCAATCGCGTTATTTGAAACAGTTTTTGGTTTTCAAATATTTCTGACAATTTGTGTCGCAAATATATGTCCCATGCGAACAGCGAGAGAGTGCGCGGAACACCCAGAAAGAAAGGTAAACAAAGTTGAAGGTAAATATTTTACTGCACTTATAGAATGCCGCTCATATAACACGCATATATATATATACTACTAGATAGGTATATATAGTTAAATATATACGTAGTGCACATCACCCGGCGTGTTTCACACACTCTTATATATACGTACACTCCTATAACTTCTTAGTTTCGCATAATATACAGCCATGCTTAGATACGCCAGCGCAGGGCTATTTGCCCGTTCAGCAGTGAGGACTACCCTGTAAGTGAAGTGCCCATAGTTTACAGTTACTGATATTTGTGTGTATACCCGTACGTAAGGGAATTTAATTTTATATTTATGTAGGCATGTATATGTGTGTGTAAATATGTGTATGTGTATATGCACATATATGTGTGTTTATGCGTGCATGTTAATATGCATATGAATGTGCAAGATATTGGTTCGAATATATTGTTTTAGGTCTTTCTGATGGCAGCTTTCGTCCATAAAATAAAGTATTTTGCGATTTGTAGTGTAGAAGCGATCAACCGTACTGCCAGAATAAGATGGTTTTGCAAGACGAAACCCCACATATGCTCATGAATGATTACACACTAAAAATCAATATATATATATATTGGTTCCGTGCTTGCATAACACACACAGCCACGCGCACACACATATATATATATATATATACATTTGGTCGTCTTAGCATAATAACGTAAGTTCGACACAATTTACGATGTATACCTCTAAGCTGATGGTTTAAAATTTGTGCAATCGCACGCAAATGCGAATCTTGCTTTAATGAGAAAAATGCATTCAAAGAAAGTTAGGCATGCTCAATCTCATTTTCACTAGTGTACCCAAAATTTGACTTAGTGACACATCTTCTCTATTTTGAAGTTTGCCATCAATACGCTTCTTCAAATTTCCATCAATTAAAAGTTCACTCTAATATATACGTGCATACATAAATATGTATATATATATATATATCACATACTGTATATATACGATGTGATAATAGTTTCTCGCATGTGTAAGTTTAACTTTCCATATACCCCATTGTAGTTTTCCCTTATTCGTTATATGCACGCAGAGTATCGTATATGGAACTCTACTCGTAGAACACTTACTTTACACTCGTCCTACACTATTTTCGGACTTGGGACTTGATTCAATCAATCAATGTATACCTAATTTTATATCAGTATAAATATGTATGTATGTATATATGTCTAGATATATAGCAGTCTGGTCACACTCTCGCCGTGCATTCTAGTTTTATACTCAGTTACCATAGTTACTCCCTTAAAAATATCAGCCTCGTTCCTTGACCGTTGTATACCTAGTATACAGTAGTGCACTTACCTTTTTGCCGTCCATTATATTACTAAACTCCCTCCGTAGGTAGCATTTAACAGTCATCAGCCGCCCTTTCATTGTCTGTTGGCCAATATATACCTAGATGTATAACAATGTGCTCACGCTCGCGCCATACGTTCTATTTTTAGTCTCAGAGCCTCCGTAGTAGGAGCCACACAGACATCTGCCTTCTCGTCGTCTCCTCTGAGGGCGGCTGGGGCGGACCCCAAGCTAAAGAACATCGTGGACGAAATCGCGAAGCTTAACCTTATGGAGGCTAGTGCCCTCGCAGATCTATTGAAGGTGTGGTACGATAGTTACTGTTTGTGTATAAATAGATTCGTATATATATTCTTATTTCTGTTTCTGTTTTCATTTTTGTTTCGATACAGACTTCAAGCTAGGTATACAAGTACTTTTCTTAGCAAATATATATACGAGTGTATTTTGTCTTTGTGCGCCGTGTTCACACATCCTTGCAACACCTTCACCTACATTCAGGATACACCTTACACACAACGAACGCAGAGATAACTCATGTACACCCATTGTGACAAATACATACGAATGTCGAGCAAAGGCTGACCACACTGAGACGCAAAACTATTAGGCCTAGCATTCCGCCCTCCATGATTATTTGTACACGGTATATATTGATATTCTCTCGCTGTATATAATGCTATAGAACCCCGTGGGTATCATATGCATACGACTTTTCAGTTTCAATATTTATTATTTTATATTGCCAAATGTCAGTTAGATGATCTCATTTTTTGGATCATGTCTATTCAGATCACTATTTAGACATCCTCGCCAGTATTCCCGGACTATGTCAAATCTGCTACTAAATAGTACACTTAGTTGAAACCATACATCTCTATTCTCGTCCTCGCGTGTGTAAAGCACACTCGGCATCACCCGCATCTTTCTGTCATCACTTGGCATCATGCTTCCAATATAGTACGCCCAAACTAATTTAAATATCACTGCTCTTTTTCTCTTGGCATATGCAGACCACACTAAACATTCCGGATGCCCCAATGATGATGGCTGGTGGCGGTGGTGCTGGTGCTGGTGCTGGCCCTGTGGTAAGTGAATGTTATATATATATCAGTTTAAAACTAGAGTTTATTGAGATGGAATGTCGTAGATGGGGTTTATTCCTTGCTATCGCCTCGTATGTCACTAGAAATTTGTACTAAGGTTTAATATATATACCTTGATTTTATCTCCATGATGAGTTGTTACATCATAAAATTGTACTCGATTTTAGGCATGTGCTGGACATGCTCATAGATACACATGTTGGGGGTCAACCTCGCCTTCTTTTCGGGGGCTACTCCTGACAAGTGAAGTGTCCTATGATGCACTTCAGATTAGGATGAATGAAAAGGAGGCCTTTGGAGACGTAATCGAGAAAGCGGACCTCGAAACTCCCAATTTATGAAATAGCCTTCCCCTACTGTACCTCTGGAAGTTAAATTGGTATACTTATAGTTCTATACGTGTGCGATGGCATGCTTCCTCACAGGCGGCAGAGGAGGAGAAGAAGGAAGAGCAGACCGAATTCACCGTCAAATTAACAAAGTTCGATGAGAAGTCAAAGGTCAAACTCATTCGAGAGGTCAAGACATTGATGCCCAACCTCAATTTGGTGCAGGTATGCGGTATAGCCCAACCACTTATCAATTTAAATATGCATTTTTAGTCTGTGTAGTGACCTGGCTGAGGTATTGCGTATAGTAGTACCTTCTGTTTGTACATACATCGCTGTGTACTCGTATACACTAGCACGCATCTAGTAGCGCCTTGTTCTTTTGCTTGTACTCTGACCTCTCAAGAAACTACGTATCCACATGCATTTGCAAACGTCCATGAGCAAGTGTCTTTAAGCAATTTTCTACGAGAAAATGACTATGAGATCAGAGTTTCGCACATGAGACATGAAATTATACACGCGCACACCCTAATGTGGGCCTGTCATTCCGGATACGGTTGAAACCAGTCCCTGCGTCCGTCCTTTGGCATACGTAGTCATTAGTTTTCCTGCATACATGCATATCCGTAAGAGCTTAGCATTTCGATGATCTCTGCTGACCTGTGATTTAAATGTGTACATCCCGCCAGGCCAAGAAGTTCGTAGAAGGTTTACCACAAACCGTGAAGGAGAATGTCCCCAAGGATGAGGCTGAGAAGCTAGTTAAAGCATTAGAGGCCGTAGGTGGCAGCTGTCAAATCGAGTAATTAATAAACTCTTTCAAGTCTCGCCACCTTCGTATGTTGAGGGATATTAGAGCCAAAGAGAATACTTATCAGGGTCATTCAACTGGATACAGCAAGAGTTCTGCATATATATATAGATATACGTATACTTACTTACTCACATGTTATATTTGTATTTGTATATATATGCATAATTATATATACATTCATAAATACATTATATATATGTATGTATGTATCATTGCAAATCATCGTTAATCATAACGAGATGAAATCTCCAAATGAAAGTAAGCTTTATTAGTATTTTAGGCAACGACCGTGACATCTAAAAATACTGACGCACCCTTAAACGATAAGAAATTTTCTCAATCATACATGATATCTATTTAGAAGGCAATGATATACTTCGTAGAAATTATTAGCTACTCAATCTGTCCCCTGTACTCCTTCGTTGTGCCGTTATGTGAAGCATTGGCTTGGAAATGCAATCTAAACAGTTCAACTTTAGAATATAATACAGTCTACGGCGAGTTTTGATCCGCCGCCAGCCTCGCCAACTGAGTTTTCGTACTGTGAGTGGCAGGCACACGAGAAAGATGAATGGGAGGCACAATTAAAATAAGGCGAAAAAAAGTAAAGCGTAGATGCATACTATGTGGGACAGAAGCCTTGTATTAACCAGCCATATACGTACTTAGGAAATACGCATGCGCACAGCCATCAGCTCACGCTCAATCACGCATGCAGAACACAACCTTTTATCCCCTCTCTACCACTCTAGATTGAATCTCACATTTTTATGATACCTATCAATACGAACACATGCTTTGTACATCCATAGTAGTGTGCTGACGAATGCGTGAGTTGCATACAGAATTGGTCTGGTCATCATACTAAACAATACATGCTTAACAACTATCTTTCTGAACTGACTAATCATCAGAACGACTAATCATCAGAACACACCCTATGATCAATGTAATTTCATGCCATGCAGTTCCACAGCGTCACACTTGCACAGTCACGAGTTGAAGACTCTCACGTCTACTCAATGTATTAAGCAAAATCTCTTGTATACAAGGGATGTAAATATAAATATATATGTATG